CTCCTGCTAGCCACTCCACACTGTCTTTAGCTTATTATTGATCTATTGGTTTATTGTCTGTCTCACCCTCTAGACTGTAAACTCCACATGGAGGACTCTGTCTTCTCCACTAATGTTTCCATTCCTTAGCACCTGGCACCATGCCTGGCATGTAGCAGGCACTTGATTCCTGTGTGCTGGTTGGCTGATGGGCTGGCTTCCTGACTGGATGGATGATGATGCCCGGGGCTTGCCTTACTGAGAAACCTCCAGCCCAGGGACTGCATGAGGTCAGACCACTGCTCCAGCCTCACTCCTCTGACTACATAATCTGGAATGGCTCATCCCACCCAGCCCTCAGCACAGGCCATGCCCAGCACAGGCTCGGTTAGGACGGGCAGTGTGCCCAAGGGTTCTCGGTTGGGGGATGGGTTGTAGAGAGAAACAGTGGTGGAGTAGGGGACGGGGCTTTGTCATGGATAAAGTCCACTGTGCACATCCAAATCTTTCCACTGCATGGTGCTGCCTCTGGGTGTCAGCTTCACATGTGAATTACCTGACCTCAATCTGGAGTCACACTGGGCCTGAGTTCAGACCCAGGTTCTATTACTTACTAAAATGGCTTTTTGAGCTTCAGTTTCTCCAGTTGTGAAACGGGGAGGATGATAATAACAGCACCTCCCTAGTAGAGCTGCTCAGCAAATCAGGCAGCACCCTCTGGAAGCCTTGGGTAGGTGTGCAGCCTTGGGTCTGGAGAGAGGAGACATGTGTCTTGGGGAATCCAGAGAGGGTGGGCATCAGTGCTCATAAAGGGGAAGGATGGTGCCCCAGAATAAAAACCATTTTGGAGAGTCCAAAATATTTGAATCCAAGTCTGTTTTCCTCCCACCGGATAGGGTTTAAAAGGTAATTTCTCTTAGAGCACAGGGTTCCTTCCTCCTTGAGGCCTAGCCCGGGGCATGATCCGGCCTCTCCCTCTCCCTGCCATGGCAGCTCGGTAGTGAACTGCCTCCTGCCTCTGCCCCGCACCCCTGACAGATGCTGTGGGCAGCAGCAACTGTGTGCCTATACCAAGGTCTGGCCCTGAGACCCACGAGAGGGTCACGAGGGTCTAACCCAGGTACAAGGAGCCCCAGCAAGGGAGGTCTGTGCTCCAAGAAGGGGTGCAAATGGCAAACAGGAGAAACCACAGGTGGGAAGAAGTTTAATGTGAAAATTATGATGTGAGCGCTGGACCCATCCCAGGGGGAAGAGTTGGTCAGTGCTGGGGACCACTGGGCCTTGGGGGAGCTCAGCATGGCAGCAGAGAGGTGCTGCTCAGTTGGGGGCAGACCTACTGCTAAGAGGGGCTGTTGCTGAGTAACAGAAATGGTGCCAACTGGAGGTAGCCTGGTGACAGTCTACTCTGGAAGTGCCAAGAGCCTGAGAGATCTGAGATACCCCTCAACCTCATGTCCGGGGTGCAGGAAGTTCCCACCCTTGCTGGGATAAGGCAGTATGACAGTCTTCCCCAGGGGCTGGGGACACAGATGAGATTTATTCATGAGGTTCTGATCAACTGGCATTCTTTTCTGGGTTTTAGCTCCGTGTACGCACGTATGCGTGCGTGTGTGTGTATGTGTTTGATTTGTCTGAGTATTTTCTCGTGATAAACCAGATTTGAACAAGTGGTTTTTTTTCTGGACCAACTCATCTTATCAGCCCATCTTTCTTCATTCATTTTAGACAATTACAGTTTTGGAGGTAATATATAGTTAAATATCAATTTACAGACTGACAGCATTCTCTCCCTGGAATTTTCACCAGGGGTAATGCACAGAGCTGCAGCTATAAAGCATCTTTTCTAAACTTACCCTCACTTGGTGGCAGTATCCTCACCTGGGTGGTACTGGGGATCACTCGGTGCCTGATTTAGTCAGTCTGGCCATGATTGTCTCTTGACAGCTTTAAGGGAGAGCAATTGTGTCCACGTACAGATGAGATTTCCCATGGGGAATTCCACATGGGTTCTGCCTGTGGCCACTGTGTGTCTCATGATATGGGGCACAGTTTCTGGGACCAGGCCCAGGCCCAGGGGAAGAGAGGACCCATGTGAAATTTCATGATGGGCTCTGCAGCTGTGTCAAGATTAGAATCAAACTTCTTTCCAAACACAGAGCGTGTGGTCCAACTTCAGGCCAAGGAGTGAGGGCATGGGCAGGTGCCATATCCCATGGGTCCCAGATGCCTTATTGTGGTATATTTGACGCCAGGACACCAAGAAAGGCAGGGAGGGGAGATGGGGTCCCATGGGTTGGTTGGGGGAAGAGGGGACTTGTGCACAGCTACAGTATAATACTGCCCAGTCCCTACCACCCATATACCCCAGGCTGAGGTATATGCTGTAGCTTCTGATGGTTCACATCCAGCCCTCCCTGGCTTCCCTGTACCCCAATCTTCTGTGCTGCTGCAGCCCCAAGGAAAACCAGCTCAGGACCATTCATACTCTACACATAACCAAGTTTCTCCTGTGCTGTGGCTGGGGATAGGGGGATGGGGGGGTCAGGATTTACCTGGGTTCCCCTGGCGGGTTGTGAATCTTCTCCTGGGGCCCATGTAGTCCTTCCAGTCCTGTCCTTGGCTGCCCTGCTGCAGAGAGAGCTTGGTCTCCTCTATGCTCCCCCTGCCCTCCTATTGGTTCCATACCTCCAAAGGCAAGGCCTGTGTGGCCTCTTCTTGGGGGCAGCTGTGTACTGCCATGGGACTTCCAGGGAGAACGGTCTCTTACTCAGGACCTCATGTCTGGGATGGTGACCCCAGCTCATGTAGTCAAGGCACTTCATGGTGTAGATCTCAGCCTTGGGGCTGCCCTGGGAAACAGATCATCCCCATCTCCTGTATGAGGGTAAGGCAGCAGTTAAGTGGGGACGGGATACTGGATGTGGCATGTTCCATGCCACGGAGAACTGAACTGAGGAAGCTCCCTGGTGAGGTCTGCAGACCAAACAATGGGGCTGGGGTCCTCTTGGAAGGCCAGGTCTGCTCTTGGGGGCTTTCAAAGCCTGGCTGCCTGACTTGGAGTCTATATCATTGTGACTGAATTAATTGTTGTGCAACCTAGAGTGGTAAGACAAGTTAATTACATAATTACTGCAAAATGACATGTTATTTCATGGCTGCAATATGGTAACTCTGCTGGAAACGATTGTAATTGCCCAGAAACTGCATTCGAGTGGCTCTGTTATCTCTCGATAACCATGTAATTAAGTTGTGTTACAACTTTATTTGCAACAAACTCTGAACTTAGGAGCTGGGGCCCTTGGAGTGGGCCATCCTCTACCTTAAGGGACCTGGGAGGGTCTGGCACTGGGGGCTCTGTTACCATCCAGGAAAATCCTTTGCTTTTAAGTTGAGCAAGAAAATTCCTCCTTCTGGACTCCAGCCCTCAAACTCATGCACAATCTCATATGGTCACATACAGACAGCTCCCAGGTGCGGTCACATCAGACTCACATTATACAAAAATACTCACCGCAGCAGGCCTGACTGGCTCTGCCTCTTCTCACACTCACTCATGTGGCTCTTTCACAGCAGGTGGGTGCCCAAGAGGAGAACTCCTACCCCAAGATCCTTGGCCCTAGCAGTCGCTTCCCACAGACTGGCCACTAGCCACAAAACCACAGCTTGGAGAGGGAGCCCTTTCAAGTGCCCGCCGGAACCCAGCCACCCTCCTGCTTCGCTCCAGGGTGACATGTGGCCCAAGCCCAGCCCCCACAAAAGTCAGGAGAGCTTAAAACAGTGGGCTGGCTCCCCCAGCTCTCGGCTCTGCTTTGTGGTTGGGATAAAAACTGTCCCTGGGTAAGGAGGAGCGAAGTCTTGGGGGAGGTGCCTGTCCACACGACTCCACCTGTCTACACGGCTCTCCCTGTCCAGGCTTGGACCCAGAGTTCCTCTTCTTAACACCATGCAGCGGTACCTTTTCAGTTCCAGGCTGTGTGCTTGATGCAGTGGCTGCCCCCAAAACCGAGAGCATCCTCACTGGCCTGGGTGAGCCCAGCTCAGCAGGTAGATGGAAGATGCCTGGGTGGCTGCCGGTCTAGCTATCTTCTGGCCTGAGTTGCATGCCTGCTAGCTTGACTCTGACTCTCTGCCTACCCACCTGTCTACTTGTGTGCCTGTCCTCTCCTGCCTGCCAGCACAGTATGTGTCTCCCTGTGTGTCCACTGGCTTGTCTATCTCTGACTCTCTGTCATCATCACAAGTGGTCCTGTGTCCTCTCGAGGGAAATGGCCTGTCCCAGGTCTCCCTGTGGTGTTTGTCCAATATTTTCCTGGCTTTCTCTCTCCTCAAGGGCAGGGACTGTGTCTGATCCATGATTCATCCTCGTGTCTGGTGCTTGCAGCATGGAGCTGAGACAAAAAGGATTAAGGTTTGCTGAATGAATGAACAAAAGCCTCAAGCCTGCATGGGCTGAATACAGGGAAAAGGGATTGTTCTCATCCACCCAGAAGAGCAGAAAGCCAGGCTCCAACTCAGATCCAAGACACAGAGAGGAGACAGCAAGTGCTGCCTGTCACCCTGAAAAGGAGGAGGATTTTAAGGGTAGTTCTTCCATGGCAGGGGTCACAGGATTTGGGTCCTGCTGTGGAGGAGGTCAGAGCTGGGTCTCTGTCTGAGCAACTGGGTTGGGAGTGGGGGGCAGTGACACAGTGTAACACAGCCACCCAGGGAAGGTGGGTTTCATCTTGCCTCTCTTTATCTTGGAGGCCAGATTACATGCTCTGCTAGGGGACGGGGAGGACACCCCAGGTCCCACCTCTGACTGGTAGTGCTTAGGGCTGTCTTCTGTACTCCAGTTTCTACCCCCTAAAGGCCACCTGGAGCTCCCATGCCCGGCAACAACACATGCTGGAGCCCCATGCCCTGCTCCAAGCTCTGTTCTGTAAGGGCCAAGGGGAGGGCCTGCCCCACTCCCAAAGCAGAGGGGAGGGGCCCCAGGTCTGTGTCAGTCATGTGATCAATGCAGAATAACCTCCCCGGAAACATTCATAAGTTTAATCCACGCCAGTAATAAAATCGCATTACATTTCTCATAAAATAAATGTTCCCATTTATATACAGAAAACAGACTGTACAGGCCCAGCCTGGCCCCAGGAGGGGTCACACACAGAAGGGTGGCAGCGGAAGAAGGGCCATCCCTCCCATCGATGACAGAGGAGCTCTAATCGGCAGGAGAGTGGCTGTCCGGCTGGGCAGGCGGGCAGGCGGGCAGATGGGCAGATGTGCCTGGAGGCCAGGCGTGGGGCGTTACTGAACCTGGGATTCAAAGGTGCCATTGAGCTGCCCCTCCTCATAGTCCATCTGACACAAGATCATGTTGTTCTTCAGGAAGAATTTGTCTCCCACACAAAATCTGGAAAATCCAAGCAGGAGAGAGAAGCCATGGAGAGGGTCCCAGTGGATGGTGGGTGCTGCAGACAGGACTCAGCCTAACCCAGGAGGTAGACATGTGGGAAGTGAGGTCCTGGGGAGTTTGCTCCTTGAACTTTCCAGAGAGGACCTCCCAAAGTCCCATAGCAAACCTGGCCAATCACCCTGGGCCAGCCCAGCCCCCAGCCAGGCCCTGCAGAAGACAGACAGGCAAACCTGGGCCAGTCAGGCCTCCCATGGAGGGTGGGGATGGTGGGAGGTGTAGGAATGATCTACTCCAGTCCCAGACAGGGAACAAGAGGGAAGCAAAGAACAGAAAAAGTCCAAGAAAGGAGAGAGATAGAGAGAGGCAGAGATGGGAGAGGAGGAAGGGATAAAACGTTGATTTTCCCACCCCTCTGTTCTCCCCAACATAAGAGGATGGCTCAGTAAAGGCATTCTTCCTCTAAGCAGAATCTGCGGGTTTCCTGCAACATCCTTCCAGGAGGAGTGACCCTCTCCCACCATCTTCCCTCCTACGCAAAGTAGGCCTTGTTTTTCCCCCCACACCCAGTCCTCCTCAATACTGGAGGATTCAGCCCTTCCCCCAAAGATGTCCCCAGGGTGGTGAGGCCTTTAGTGGGACTCCAGCAGATCCCAGTCCAACCACCAGGTGGCACTGCAACTGCACTGAGCCCTCCTAGCCCTCCCAGCCAGACCAGTGTTCCCCTCAGGTGGCTCTGGAAATTCTTATATGAGCTCCTTCCTGACCTGGGGGCTCCTGAGAAAAGGACCTCTTTTCTAGCGCTAGGCCCAGCCAGGAACAAAGGGCTTTTGCTCCTTGGGTCCCGGCGGCCTCCCACAGAGCTGGGGCACTGTGTAGGGGCCCAAAGGCCAAAAAGGAGGCTGGGCTGAAACCAGAATCACAGGAATGAGTGGCTGTTCCTTGAAGGGATTTTGCCCTCCCTTCCAATGGGAACCCCTCCTCACTAGAATGTGCAAGTACACACGTGCACACGGTGCACACACAGGGCACAAGGCATGCCTAAAGAACCCCCGCATATGTACATTTAGCCGACGTGTGCACAATATACTCACCCATCATGCATACATGTGTGCACACAGCACACACATACTCCCCTTGTACACGGCATTTAAAAATACACTCATGTACAAGACACTCACCCTATACAAACACAGTAAGCTCATGCGTCCCCCACCAAACGTGCTCACACAGTGCTGGAGTGTACACACTTGGCTATAGGACTCAGGCATACATAGAGCACCCTATGCAATGCATCTCCAGGCACACACAGAGCCTGTATTTGGATGCCCTTCTCCATGCCATTCCTGGTCTGTGCCAGCAGGAGTTAGCTGGGGTGTGGTGAGTATGTTAGGTCTGCTCTCAGTGCAGCACTCACCTCTGGTTACAGAGCTGGCAAGCGAAGCAGTCGAGATGGTACACATTGTCCCGGGCCCGCATCACCATCTCGAAGGCTGGGATCAGCTTGCTGCAGGCAGCGCAGTTTCCTGTGGTACCAAACAGCCTGCAGAGGGAAGGGTGCAGGGGGTTCAGGGGCCCACCAGTGTGCTGGGGGTGGTCAGGGCAGGGGAGTTGCTCCACCATGTAGGCTTAGCAGGTGGAACTGGGCCAGGAGCACAAATGGCAGCATCTAGATTCTGCTAAGAGATTAGGCTTCAGAGAAATCAGCACATCTACCCAAGGAGGGGAGGGTGAGGGCTCAGGGTTGGGTGACACTGCCCATTGATGGAGCTAACAAGGCCCCTTCCCAGGCTCCCACTGGAGTCCTTCAGCACCTGGGGTCACCAGAAGAACACTGGGCTGGGCCTTGAGCAAGGACTCTAGATGGGCTAAATCATGGCTGTGTGTCCTCAGGCAAGTCACTGAGTCTCTCTGAGCCTCATTTATTTCAGTTATAAAATGGGGACAGATATACATCCTTCACAGGCTTGTGAAAACTTTTGTAAACTCTCAGTTATAGATCATTTAGTGAACAACTGTAGAGTGTGTGTCTACTATGTGCTTTCCCAAGACCAATTCATTTAATCCTTTTGACAACCCTAAGGATGTCATTTTCTTTTACCAACTCACAGAGTGACTTGCCTAAGTCCCTTTATCCTTTTGCTGAACCTCAGTTTATCCTTTAAAGTGGGGTGCTGGACTAGATGATGCTGTTCAAAGATGCTTCTAGAATAGGACTGATGCCAAAAGGAAGTCCCCAAGGATGTCTGGCACAAAACCTCTTTGAGGCAGGTTTCTCTCCTTTTAGCTGCTGGTTTCAAGCTCCAGGGACAGGGAGCCCCATTGCAGGCCAGTCCTTGGAGGGGTGCTCTGAGCCAGCGAGGCTTCTTCTTTCCTGCACACTGGCAGAGCAGGCCCCAAGTGAGGTAAGGGAGCTGAGAGGCTGGCGGAAGGCCCCTCTGATCCCTGATTTGTCCAGCTCAAGCTCAGGCGCAGGCAGATGAGCTTGACTCCATTATTCATCAGCCCGAGCTGCCTGGTGGCTCAGATTAAGGCAGACAAAGGCTGGGCCACAGCATCTGCCTGGTCTTTCTGCTCCTAGTCTGAAGAGGAAGCAGGCTCCAACAGCCATTCTCTGGGGCTCAGCAGCTCAAACAAGCCCCACCCCCATCCAGTTCATTGGCCTGCCTGGCCCCAAAGTCATTTCTTGGCCTCTGTCAGACCCCAGAATGCCTGCAGTGCTTTGGCTGTGCTAACAAGCCCATCCTGCACCTCCGTCATCCTCCCTCCCCAGGTCCTGTGGACTCATCAGATGTTCACCACCTCCCTTCAACCTGGCAGGTTCAGGCCCTAGCCCTCCAGGTGAACTTCCAGGTCAAGGGGTGAGTCACCAGAAAAACCCTTCCTCACGTCAGGGCTCTGCTCCAGCCTCGCCAGAGGCGCTGTCACAGATCCTGGCTTACTGCTCCAGTTTAGAAACTGCTAAAGGCAGAAATTGAAAGAGAATATGCAAGCAGGTAAATCTTTGGCTCTTCAGGGAAGTAGGGGAGCCTCTGCTGATATGATAAGCCCCTCCTCCCCAGCCTGCCCAGACCTGAGCAGAGGGAGCCCCACAAGCCCTCACCCTGACCTATTAATTAATGTGATGGGCCTTTCTTCCCCCAAGGCCCGGCCACCACCCAGCAGCCTGCCCGGGGGCCAAATGCAGATGCTGGGTCTCAGCCAAGGCCTCCGCTAGGTGGCCTCCTTCCAGCCTTGCTGATGTCATAAATGGCCTAGGGAAGGGCTAACTTGGGGAGATGGTCCCAAGGAATAGGCTCTGGGTTGCGGGGGAGGTTGGGTTAAAGCTCAGAGGAATGAAAGGTGGGGAAGCTTTAGTCTTTTGACCATTCAAAGAAGGGTAAACTGAGGCTCAGAGAAGGTTAGAAGCCAAAAGGCTCAAAGCCAGTTCAAACCCAGGTCATTAAGCTCCAACACCAGTGGTTCTTCTCCCAGGGTCTAATTGCCAGGCTGCCCAGGCACTGGGGTATCCAATCCCAGGTGGAAAGGAGACTTCATCAGGCAGGAGGCACCCAGGGAAGTCAGAGATACCCCGTCTGCTCTTAGAAGCCCTCTGAGGCATCTCCTTCCACATTCCAGAGACAGGGGAATGGTTATAAATGCCTACCCAGCACCTGTGTGCAGCACTGATTCCAAGGGGTTACAGGCATGGTCCTGCCCTTGGGGGCTCCACGGGCATGTGGGGAGCAGGGCAGGATGAGGAAACACACAGGACAGTGCACATGGGGTGCTGGGTGCAGAGCCAAAGGGCAGCGCCACGCTGGGCTATGGAGGATGGGGGCTTTTTGAGTAGAAGGGCTGGGACAGGCGCCAGGCAGCCCACCTCAGGTAGTCGCGCCGACACAGGATGAGGTTGGCCTTGGTGTAGAGAGTGGAGCCCACCTCGCCCAGGCGGCAGTCGCAGCAGGCACACTTGAGGCAGTCCTCGTGCCAGTACTTGTCCAGTGCCTTCAGCAGGTAGCGGTCCTTGATCTTGCGATTGCAGCCCGCACAGCCCTTCTGCTTCCCCTTGGGCTGGACGGAGAGCATCGGCACACCTGTGGCCGGACAGACGACAGACGACAGATGGGCACAAATGGGCCCTGCGGCTCCCAGCCTCCGAGCACACAGCTCTGTTGCCCTGCAGAGTTGGGGTTCCCAGAAGCCCTCACTTTCTCCCCAGCAACCTCCTCTGCTGGCCCAGAGCCCTGTCCTTTGGGCTGCACGGCACCGCCTGAGCAGTGGTAAGTCCCTCCTGAAGCTACAGGCAGCACTGGGGAGCTCCATCCGCTCTGCTGCAGGGCACACATGTAGCCCCCAGGCCCAGTCCCAGAGTTGCTCCCTTCCAGCCACTGCTTCCTATGCGGTCCGATCCACAGTAGGCCTGAGACACTCCTCATGCAGCCACCACCCCACTGGCCTTTCAGCAGCCGTAAGACAAGAATCTTATAATGCGATTGGGGTCCACTAGAACTCCCAGATCTTTTTTTCACCTCAAAATGTCCTCGTACTGCTTTGGGTTTGACTACTTTATTTTCAAGGCAGGATATAGCTTCTTGGTCTATTCATGTAGAACTGTGGAGGTGTCAAGAAGAAAAGGAGATGGCCTTGTGACACTCCCAGCAGGGAGCAGGAGCTCTGGAGCTCTTGGCAGGTTTGCACAAGGGGATGGTGGGGTCTGGCCCAGCTGGGGCTCCCCTCAGGAATAATCCCAGCTAGATTCAAACTTCCTCCATGCCCTGGCCTGAGGGACAGAACATTCTGAGCCTCTGGGTCCTTGTTCATCTCACCAGGATATGAATCTTTGAGCCACTGGTCCTCTCCCAGGGTCCATCTGAGCTTCCCAATATATAGGAAAGTGCCAAGTACAGATGGCAGCAACCTCTATGTGGTGTTCAGCACGGGGAGAAGCAGGCAAACGTGCACTCATGTGTGCACCGTGCACAGAGACACAGTGTGCAAGCATGTGCCCAGAGGCCACAGCCCCTGGCCACAGGGAGTGACTACAGCAGGCTGACAAGGAGGTAGGGACAGATGTTGCCTAGGAGCCTGGACCTCCACGTGGAGCCTGAGGCCGGAGTGTGGTGAAGACTAGGGTTGTTAGGGAGTGCAGGGAGTCTCAGGTGCCAGGACCTGGACTGGGGGTCGGGGTGGCCTTTAAGAATTCCCTGACAGCCCCTCATGAAAGTGGCAGGGGTGGGGAGGCGCCTTCCCCGACCCAGGCTCAGGTGGATGGAGTGGTGGACTCTAGAGGAAACAGCTGCCCGTCCTGCCTCCCTGAAGTCCCTGAGGTCTATATTCCTCTGGGTCCCATCCTCTCCAAGGGACCAGACCCTGCACCCTGCAGGGCTCTGGGTTCAGCTCTCACTCCCTGGAATCCCTCCTATCTCTCTCTGTCCCCACAGCCACCAGTCCAGCATATGAGCAGCTCAGCCACTTCCCTGCCTTTCCCTCCTGTAACATCTCTGACACTAAATGACATGGTGTATTTCTTCCCTTCATATACATATAACAGTAACACTACTATACACAGCAGTAATAGTAGTGTAAATTAATTCAGGTACCCGGACCCGATTCCAGTGTGTGTAAATATGAGGGGGGGGGGGTCTTTCTACACATACTTACACCAAGCAATTCTTGAACACCAGCAGGGTGTCTGAGAACTCAACTCAATTCCGATGCTATCAGCCCAGAGACAGCACCAGATTCCCAGGTTAAGGGCTCCGTCCTACAAGACTGCCCTCCGGCCCCCACTCCAGACACTGGTCATAAGCCCCAGAGTTTACCTGTGCTTCTGACCTACAGGCTACAGACTGGAGGTGCCCACGACCTCCCCCTTAGGTTCAATTTAATTTGCTAGAGGGGCTCACAGAACTCAGGAAAACACTTAGGTTCACCAGTTCTATAAAGGACACCGTAAAGGATGCAAGTTCACAGCCAGATGAAGAGAGACACAGGGCAAGGGCCCAGGTAAAGGGGCTTCTGTCCTCGTGGAGCTTGGGGCCTGGCTCGGTGGCACGTGGAGGCATCTAGTTCCCCAAGCACAGAAGCTCTCTCTGACCCACAAGCAGGGTACAACTGAGCAGAGCAGGCAGAGCAGAGAGGGCAGAGCTCTTCTCAGGGGTTTTTGTGGTGGCTTCACTGCATAGTCATGACTGACTAAATTATTGGCCATTGGCTGATCCAACCTCCAGCCCCGGCCCTTGGGTGTGGGTCCAAAGGTCTCTCATTAACATGACAAAACACCCATTTCACCTTTAAGACTGCAGTGTTTTCAGAAACTGTGGATGAAGACCAAATATACCTGGGAAATATATATTTGGTTATAAGAATGATCAAATATGTATTTCTTACAAATCATCATATCACACCTCCCCTCTTGTAGGTATGACCCTCCCTCAGTCTTCAGGAGAGACTCCGCCTCCGAAGGGCCTCAGGTTCAGGATCCACAGGTGTCAGGTCAGAAGGCCCTCCTGAGGGGAAACTGAGGCCCAGATGGTCTGAGGAGCTAGGGTAAGCCACCCATCAGGTTGGCCCTGGGGATCCTTTCCCCTTCCCGTGTTCTCTCTTAGCCTCACTGCCTCAGGCTTCTCCTGGGGAGGGGTGGTCTCTGGGCCAGAGCACAGGGGCAGGGGGACAGGTGAGGGCAGAGAGGCAGCAGTGCAAACTGTAGCGGCCTCTCTCCTTACCCCCTCTCCTCCAGGCCCCACGGGGCCCATATGTTTGCTGCCTCATTTCCTTAACACAGCTCTAAAAGTTAATTGGTCTGACAGGGTGATGGGGGTCAGGATGACTGTGTCCTCAGGCCTGTCTGTGTCTCTTCCTCTGCGACCATCAGGTCACAGAGCTCTGAGGAGCCCATGGAAACCAGCTGGGGAGCAGGCACCCCTGAGGGTGAAGCTGGGGTGGGGCGCGTAAGGCTCCTTCCAAGGCCAGGCCTACAGGGAGGAACCAGGTGTGGGAAAACATTAAAGAGAGCTGGCTGTGGTGAGGTCTGGGAGTCCCAGGGTGGGACTATAGTCCTGGGACCTGTGGAAGGAACACCCAGCTAGCATAGCTGTGCATATAAACACCAACCTGGAGATATTTAAGCAAGATGGTCCTGAGAATCCCCAGGTCTCTTACCTTGTGCAATCACTGTCAGGGGGGCATGAGTGGCTGGAAATTCCACCCTCAGGGGATTTACCTGCCCACTAAATTATACCCCAAAATGCAGTGGGATCCCAGCATTAGGAGCATGAGTTCTGCTCCATCTTCCATTTGGCCTGGTTCCCGGAGAAGCTCGCCTTTCAGGCTCAGGCCCCAGCGTGCCTGGCCACTGAGCCTGCAGGACTATGAAGTACACCAGCTGGCGATTCCATCACCTGTGGGACCCAGCACCTGAGGGACCCAGGGAGGCTGTAAGGATGGCCCAGTCCCCTGCTCCTTGCCTGTAGCCAGCAGGTGCTCTGTAAGGCCTGGGCACCTTGCTCTAGGGGCTGAGCTCTGCTTCCTAGGCCCTGGGAAGCTCTGTGGCTTTTGCCGGTGTCTGATGTCCACCGAGACATGGAACACAGCCAGCTTGGCTGAGGAGGTCCCAGGGTATCTAGAGGCCTTGAGCTTTCTCTGCCTATAAAGGCTGAGGTCCTGGGAGCAGTCTGACTCATCCCCTCTTCTTTATGGAACAACCACAGTGGGCTACTCCAGGAGACTCGAAAACCCTCCAAGAAAGGCAAGCAGGTTTTATGGGGGCATCTATGGTATCTTACTCTGCAAATGGAGCAAGACACTCCCCAGAAGGTCCAGGCTCTCCCTCCTTTCTTTGACTCCCCAGCCCCCACCCAGCCTGCCAGCCAGCCTGGCACAGACACCTCTTCTCTCCCCCCGTCCTGCCTGACTCTGGGAGCTGAGCCTCAGGCCATGCACTTTCCATTAAGGAGATAGCATCCCTTTGCTAAAGTCCATTTGGGATCCATTTTAGTGTTATCTAAAAATCAAATCTACATGGTAATCCTTTTAATGTACTCCTGACTTAAGAAAAAAACAGCTTTGCACTCCTTCAGGAAAGGTTTTAAAGCATTACTCAGTAATTACTACTCACCCATGAAAACACTGATATTTTACAATGGATGATGTTTGCACCGCACGCACGCACGCGTAGGCACACGCTCAAATGCACACACGGGACCCGGCAAAATAAACCAGTTCACATAGCCCATGGGTTCCCCACTCAGATTTTAGGGTGTGAAGGGGACAATATTTGAAGGGAGAGAAGCCAAACCCAGCTCCACGCTGTGTGGGCTGTGGGTGGAAAGAGGCAGCCTCCTAGTCTGACTCATCTGGCTGCCAGACACTAGCCCTCAACTCTTCAATCTTAGGAAAAGCCAGACAGTCCCAGTGGCCAGAAGGGACTGCCAGAGGTCGTCCGCTCATCCTCACACTCTCTCCAGCCAGGAGAGAAGCCTCCTCTCTGCGTGGACCTCTCAGGCAGCCTGCCATGCAAGGCCCAAGTCCTTGGTAATTCCTGCCACCTCTCCCGAGCTATGATGCCCCTCACATCTGGCTCACGGACTTCTCCAAACTGCCAAGCCTGCCAGCTCCTGGCTCCAACGGTGCCTCCAGCTTGGACAGCGAGCTGAGCCTGGCTGTGGAGCACTGCTGCCCCCTCTCAGCATCTCCACAGCTCATCCTCCACCCCAGAACGCCCACCCCACCCTACCCCAAGTCACTCCAGGCTATGCCCTGTAGCTCCCTTACTGGCAGACACTGTGGCTACCACTGGCAACTCCACCTGGCATTTAAGGGCCCCTCCCACATGCCACCAGGTCCTGCTTGTTACTGCTGGATCTGCTCCCTGCGGGATGCTGGAATGAGACTACTTTCCCTCCTGCAAATGGATCTTGTTTGCTTCTGTCCCAGTGCCTTCATTCTACCCCTGCTCCAGAAAGAAATGCCTTGTTGTGCCCAACTCACTCTCCCCCAAAGATCAGAGCCAGCAAGGTAGGTTACTTCCTGAACTCAGAGAGCCTACCTTTCCAGTCTGGGAACTGTCCCAAGTAGCTGGAAGGCCTGAAGCAAA